CATAATGTTATTTATCCAATTGCCTGTTACATATTAATCCTTCTTAAGAGGTGTACTGAAAAGCAGTTTATATATGGTGCTGCATGGACTTGGTACTTCTTTCATACTTTCACATGAAAAGTGTAACTGTTCTGAAGAAGCTAATAGTCAATAAGCTAGTCAATAAATTTTCTGCCTTGTATGGTGACCAGTGATTCATTACTGTGTTCACAGCAGTCTCATCAGTTCCTATCTTAGATAGATGAATACAGTCCACATCTTCCTGCCCCATTTCCTTCATATTTATTTCAATATCCCTCAATCTACACCCATGTTTTTCTAGTGGTCTATTCTCTTCAGACTTTTCAATCAAAATTTTGTACACATTTCTGTTCTCCACCAAATGCACTATCCATCTCATACTCCTTCATTTGAACATCCTGGTGACAGTTACCACTATTATGAGTCCAAATATTGATTGGTTTTATGAAGCAAAAATATAAGAGGTTTTCAATTCTGAAGCCAGGGATGTTCAGACAACATTTCAAACTCTTCTCAGATTTCATGCATATGTAGTTCAGTTTGTGTTCAAATTTAAATTTAAAGGGAAAAAACCTGTCACATCTGGATATACAAGAATGTTCCACTCTGCAGGGCAGATTATCACAAAATCAAACAGTGGTGCCCTTGCTGTAGTCAAGAAATGTAAGTGAGGTGTGTAATGCGCAACTTGAAATGAGCTCTAAATTTAAACATATTATTTAATATTATATTCCCACTGTATAACTAAAATACCAACAAGTATTTTCATATTCAATACCACATTTCAGTATTCATGAAGATGAAGTTCAAAAGTATGAAACGACCAGTAAACCATATATAGTAATACACACAAGAACAGTGCACCAGTAAACCAAGACAAGTGACATACATATCTGACATAGCAGAGTTGCAATTCTTGCCAAAGGGTTGATTCCACCTAATAAAACGTACATGAATATAAATAATACACCAAAACACCTTACAGCAATTTCATATAATATAGAATCACACATACTTACTGTAATCCTGCCTTAAAATTATATTTTGAAGTAGGATACCCAATATTAAAAGTTGCTTAGGAAACTTTTAAGTGGATAAATTCAGTCAGTTCTGATTAATATTCATATGTTTTGACAGAAGTGTCAACATTCTGCACACATCCCATAGAAAATACCTTAAGTATGTGGACACATCTTACAGCTTAAAAACTGCAAAATGTAATGTACTGCAAACACACTTGTTAACAATTATTATCAGTCTTGTAGAATGCTTCCATGTTTAAGGTTTCTATTTTTTTTAGCGTGTATGATCCCTTTGTGTCTGTCATCGGATCTGTGGTGACTGGTTCATTCTTTTTCATTTCTTATTTGTTTATGGCAGAAAACCCACAATGTGATGCATTGTTAACATTAGTAATTTATGCACTTCAGCCAACATTGCACAGAATTTCCTCCTGCTGTAATGCATATTATCTGCATGAAAGCTTCCCACTCTGTCTCCATATAATTATTATGTTTGTATCAAATACTGTAGTTCTTTTGCATGAAACAGAATAAGAAAGTAAATATTAGAATATTAACGTTATAATCTCTACGATACCTTTTATAACACTGAGATTCGGCATCCTATCCTTAAGAATAATACTCAGATTACTGTTATTTTATTAATCTATTGATACTGTATCAACTTCTGAGGTCACACAGCTTTGATGAAATATTGTAAAATGTTCATAATTTCTGGCATCAGGAAATTGTGGCAGTAACCTGTCTTAGGACAAACTGAGAAAAACTGCAAAACCTTAGTTAGGAGAGTGATATTTGAAATGTGTGCCTTCCAAATGTGAAAGCAGGAATACTACCCCATAAAAATTCAAAAATGTGTAATGAGTACAGCAGCCTCAATGCTGGACATAACCATAAACTAACACAGCTTATACAAAGGGCCTCAAAAAAATGCATTATAAATTTTAATGTGCAGCTTTACACAGTCATCTTTGTATGCCAATGCTAGTATAATGCTTTCATTTTCATTAGTTTGATGTTTATTTTTTAATATTCTCTTCAGTCAGAATTTTGAATTTCAAAATTTGAGACCTGTTAACTTGACAAAGCTTAGAGCCTCTGAAGGCAAAAGTCCAGCCCTGATCAGAACTTGAATGTAATGTCACATCATCTTACACAGGAAGTGAGAATGAACATGCCCACTTTATTATGCTCTCATCATAAAACTATAAGATGGGGCACAGACATTTAAAGATATGAGTTTCCACTTTCCTTCAATACAGTATTACTATCAACTGGCAACACAAACTTTTTTCTATTACCATCTTGGTACTGTTCAGTACACAATAAAAGTTATATAAAAAACATTTTCATGGCTTTATATCATATCTTCATTTGGGGGGAGTAGATTATGATAAACAGCCTGTGACTCAGTGATGAGGTTATTAAGCCTACTAACAGTATGAAACTGATACTGATAGGAGTTTGTGGGACTTGGTATCTGTACTTTGGAATAGTAAAATCGTGAAGTGTTCTTTTTGTTGCTCAAGAAGACACCTAGCAATAAATCAAGCTTTATATCTGTTTAGTATATAAAGATGCAACCTGAGTAACAAAGTCTGAGACATTAAAAAAAAGAAAACTTTATTAAAAAGCTCTGTGTCATATTTACCCTCAGACAGTGCTCACATTTATATAGCATGCTAATCTAGTGTCAGTCCAAATATGTTACAAATGGAATCTGGATAAAATGCACCATTTAAATGCAAACATTCATTAATACATAATTTCACATGTTTACTTTCAATGAAGACACTGTCACATGATAATTCCAGTATCTTTATCTAAGTTGCAACTATGTGGTACTTCACAAAGTAGTCAGTAATTTTTATTAGAAATCAATATATGAATGAATAACAATCCTCTATTTCACAAACTCATCTCTACTGAGGGGCACATTTAGTTTACTGTCACACTTTCAAAATTGACCTTGGAATCATCTTGATAGCAGGACACCTCGCTTGTCCTTTCTCCTGACAAATCTCACATAAGAAATTTGATGTTCTATCCACTTCACTACCTCCAATTGCACTACAGCATTCTGTAAAGGAAGAAACAATTTGTATTTAGTATATGGAATAGTTACCTCTTTTGTTACACCGTTTGGTCCACTCTGGAAGACACTGTTCATAGTTTTAATTTACTGCACATAATTTTCACATTGGTTAGTGATTTTAGTGTATCTGTCAAAATCTTAAAAGAAGCCTTTAATATTTCACATGAAATAAGGTTACAGTAGCCAAGGTTAGTACCTGCGTGCATCCATTTGTCGCAGACACTGCAGTTGATAAGCCCATCTTCCTCATCAGGTTTGTTTCCATAGCAACGCCAACACAGCTGACAGTAGCGACCTTTACGCCACAGCCTGCCGGGCGAAAGCAGCAGCAACCAATGAAAACCCCAGCCACACAAAGCATGCATTGCCACAAGGTTAACACATAACAATGAACAGGATCTCTACTTGTAGTTAATAACTAATATGGTCTCCAGCTATCATCGGTAGGGTACAGATACATAACCCACACATTATATTGATCCATGATCCTACACACTGTTGATTAATTAATATTGGTAAAAAAAATACTGGACACAAAATGTAGATGACACTCTTCATTAAGTTCTATTCTCTTTGGTATGACAGATTTATTTTTCCACTGTGCAATAATTCAAGTGAATTTCAGCTACTACATGCCAAAAGACATCAATGTCAATTATAAGTGAACAGTGACTACATATCCAAATAGTATTGTAAATAGTTTCATGTTCTCTAAATGTGTACAATATTATCTGCAGGTACAATATCATTCAATGTAACAAAATGTTAGCATGTTAGTTACTTTCTGGATAGTGTTCTTTTATTTTTGAAATAGTAACTACCAAATATGATGAATAATGATTAATTCATATCCGAGTGTAAAACGTGAGGTCATTAATTTTAATGGAAGCAGCACTGAATCATGATGTAATAATTACCTGATTTCAACATGCTGGCAACAAAACTGAAAGATAGTTAATTGTAATATCAGATTAAATTTTTAAATTTATGGTTTTATCATCATATAAAATGTGGGAACATTATTGTATCTCTCTCACCACCACACATAGTAGAGACAAAAGATTACAATGATTAATATTAAATAAAGTTTCTAAAAAGTGCCTATTTATGGTATGCTGTGCACTTTCTTAAACTTCATAATATTACCACGTGGTGACAGGAATTTAAATTTTTTCTCTCTACATAATGACATTCAGCATTTGTAGCTATACACCAAATAAGAAAAACTCCCATTTATGGCATTTAGGGCTAGAAGTGAATGAATTATCTGTCCATGGGACAATTATTTACAAAGGACAGTTGAAATGAGGATAAAATTAATAAAAATAAGTTTTATTGGGGAACTGAAGGCCACAGATGTAGGTAGAAAGAGATTATTTAAATTATGATTTGAATTGCATATGGAAACTTTTGTGATGGTGACTGACATTGTGAAGGCTAGACAGAAAAGTATGTGAACACAACAATTTTGCTCACAGTTGTAATGACTATTCTTCTCTTGTTTAATGGTACAGATAATGACAAAATATGCGGCAATGTAAAATGACATAAGTAAGCGCACATACTTCTAATTATTCAACATATACACGATGTCCTAACAAGATGTATACATGTTATAATATAGGACATTAACCTTGTGCATACACATATTTTAGGACATTCTGTGTGTGTTTATATACAGCATATCCCACAAACAGGATGTCCATAGTTTAACTACGTGCGCTTGGAATAATTCTGAGTTTAAAAGTTCAAATAACATGGGTCCAATCTGCAACAGTTTGTCAAGAAAATGCTCCGCACTCACTATGCATTGGCTGTGTTTGAGAAATTAGTTCACTAAGCTGTGCACATGGCACACATAGGCAAGACACAGGCCTGTCAGTGCTTTAACACCACCTGAGATCTTAGCACTTGCATTTCCTACAGGAAGAGCTGTCATTGATGTTGGAAGATGTTCCTCTGCTAACCAGGCAAGAGATGTGGCTGCAGCAAGATGGCCCACTACCCCATTTTGGTAGGCAGGTGACTGCATTTCTGAATCAACAGTTTCCAGACTGTTGGACTAGGCAAGGTGGTTAGTTGCTTGGCCAGCGAGATCACTAGATCTTTCGCCCTTGGACTACTTTCTCTGGGGTCACATGAAATCCCTGGTGTATGTCATCAAGTCAAAGAGCAGGGCTG